ACTTCCTTGGGTCTCAGTTTCCCCAACTGTGAAATAGGAATAACAATAACACCTCGCTCACAGGATTGTTGTGAGGCTCAGATGAGATAATATTTGTAAAGTGCTTCTCAAACCTTAAAGTGTTGTGTAAATGTTAGCTATTATTAAGAAGTAAGGGGGCAGCTAGGTGACGCAGTGGATAGAGCGTTGGCCCTGGAGTCAGGAGGACTCAAGTTCAAATCCAGCCTCAGACATTTGACACTAGCTGTGTGACCCTGGGCAAGTCACTTAACCCCATTCCCTAGCCAAAAAAAAAAAAAAAAGAAGTAAGCATTACACAGCATTTCGGTCTTTGGCTTTCTCCAGGTCCAACACCTAGGCAGGCTCCCCTCCTACTCCTTCTTGAAGAATTTCCAATTCCTGCTGCCACAGAGTGGTGGGCACCAGGAGACTGATTGCTGCCTCCCTCCCTACTGGCTATCAGGGAAGCTTTGGGCACAGGTGAGCCCAGAGCAAAACCTGCCCAAGGTTACAGTGGTCTGTCAACAGCTGGGGTAATAGCACTTTCCATATGGTATATGTTTGATCTTCACAAGAACCCTGGGAGGTAGGTGCTACATTATCTCCATTTTAAGGTTGAGGAAACTGAGACAAAGAGGTTAAGTGTCTTGCCCAGAATCCCACAGCTTGGAATTAAGTAAAGCAGATTTTGAACTCAGGTTCTTCTGACACCAAATCTAACATACTCCCTCCAGGGATTTAGGTGGAGGCTTTCTTGATCTGTGCCACCATTATCCCACCTTACAGAAAAGTAAACTAAAGGCCAGAAAGGTAGCAGTGTTAGGAAAAATTTGTCCAGGGTCTTACAGGAACTGAGTAGTACAGCTGAGATTCAATCCCAGATCTTCTAATTCGAAATCCAGTGCTTTTTTCCCTACCTTTCCTTTGTTTTCCTTCCCAATATACATGCATAACAACGCTTTTCAGGGTGGGAAAAGATTATAAATCCCAGGGTCTTCAGTGACTTAGCCCTCTTAGTAAGATAGCCAGTCTGAGACATATCTGAATGACTGTTAACACATGCACGTGTTTCTGTAGTAGGTCCCATTTCCTCAGGAAGTGTTGTTTAAGATAATAGTTATTTAGTCTGACAAACTAATTCAGGCTCATGATTTCATGAGTTATCCTCTTCCATCTATCACTTGAGTTTTGAAACAAGTAGCTTCTGGAAACAGTGCTAAGGTGACTGAGTAACTAATGATCTGGCCTTGAGCACAGAGTAAATATTTGGGGGCCTACAAATAGCACCATATAGGCAGCTGCTTACTCAGCTTAACCATAGGGCCAGCTCTAAGTCCAGAGCCATTCCACCCCAAAGTATGTTACACTGGTTTATGACTGGGTCATCAACACTAGAACAGGAGTTCTTAACCTGGGAGCTATGCACTTTGAAAAAATGTTTAACAACTGTATTTTGATCTAATTTGTTCCCTATGTATTTCATGCATTTAAAAACATTATTTTGGGAAGGGGTTCATAGCCTTCACCAAACTGCTAAAAGGATTCATGATACAAAAAAGGTTGAGAACTGCCTTAAAGAGTCACAGATTTCTTATTTCTTATCTTCCCTATTGTATGTTATTTCCTCTCTCACAAAGCTGCCCGTTACTACATCATCATAATGGGCTAGAAGTACTACTTTAATGCAAGGAAGGACTTTGTGTTCCCATGAGCTATCTCTTTGAGATGCTTCCTCCAACTGCTGGTAGGAATGTCAGGGTGAAGGGAAGAGCCAGCAACCATGAAAGGAGATGAGAAAGAAAAGAAGGGAAAGGATTCTTGCAGAAGAGTCTTAACATAAAAATTCAGTGGTCCTAACTATATAATTAGGAATATCATTTCCACATAATACCCATGGAAGAAATGAAGCCCTTATTTCACTGTGAGAAACCAGAGCCATTTTATCATCATGAAAATAAGAAAGGCTTTGTTTTCTAGATAAATTTGGAGTTTGCCTCTTATCAGAGGTTTTTTTGGTGTTATTTTGTTTTTTGCTATGCAATGAGGTTAAGTGACTTGCCCAGGATCATACAGCTAGTAAGTGTCAAGTATCTGAGATCACATTTGAACTCAGGTCCTCTTGACTCCATCCACTGTGCCACCTAGCTGCCCCAAGAGTGTTTTTGTAAAGACATTTTGCTTAGGTATCTACAAGGCAGTGTGGCAGAGTCCCCTGACTACAGTATAAAGTAGATGTGTGTCAGTTAACTTTTCAATACTCCCAGTAAACTCTTAAGTCTACAAATTACGAGGAGTTGCCCATCTGCGTCGGCAGGAGAGTTTCCACTCTGGGACTTCCCTATAAATTCCAAGTCCAGGTGACACCCATCTTCCCCTTCCCCTCTTCCAACACACACACACTCAACAACATCAACATCTAGGTTAAAACCTGCTGGGTTAAATCAAATGGAACACCACAAAATCCCAAATCCAGTAACCCAATCTTTCTCTTTTTTTCAAGTGGGTATGGGGAGAAAGAGCTGGGAAATGAATTCTCAGCAGACCCTTGGGATATAGAAAAGATCTGGTCTTTCTTTTATTACCAACTCAAACCCAATGTAGCTGTCATTGTCCTTTAGGGAAGGGTTCAGTATTTTTTTAAACTCCTCTCAATACTTTTGGGCCCAGTCCCAGAGCTCAGTGAATTTAGAAGTTTCATCAATGCAGGAGCTGAGAAACAAAGCTCTCCTTTTGGAAAGAAAAAGATATTAGCTACTGAGATTTAAGATGCTAGCTGAAAAAGAAATAATGTTCTTCACAGGTCCTTCCTGGTGATAGGGTTTAATTCTTCCTTCGAGTAAATAAATGCCTATCAATGGCTAAGGGTAATGAGGACATGCATTTAGGAACAATCAAGGGATAGATTTCCTTACCCAGGGGATGATGGAACACAGAATAGGCTGGTAAGGCCAGGAACCACTATCGGGATCAATTTAAGTGAGTAATTTAAGTAATTTGAATCTATTTTAGTAGGGGAGGAAGGGAAGCACACAAGGTATTTTCCTGGGGACAGAGTTTGAGGGACTACAGATGACTTATTAAATTTAAGACTCACTTGATTTCAAGATAGACCATCATAACAGTTTTGGTATTGAAATAAAAATGCTCTGTAGTTTTTTTTTTTTTTGGACAGTCAGTGGCCAGCTCATGGAACCACAACTCTGGCCCATACTGAAGTTGCTACTAGTTAATGCAAATTGATTATAGTCTGCTGTAAGAGAGTTGACAGCCTAGAGGGTGGCTCTCTAGGAGAAGGCTAATTAAACTTCATTGTATTAAAGTGGGTCATGGTATGAAAAAGGATCCTCCAGCCCCCCACTACTTAATATTCCAAATGTGTGCATAGGTACCATTCTTCATCTGTAAAACTTGGTCATTTTATTCAGCTGCAGTTATTTGAGGTCTAATTTAATTAGGCCTTCTCTATTAAAGAACTATTAAAGAACCCTTCCCCCTCACTCCTAAAAAAAAACAAAAAAGCTGTTTCAAGGAAACTGGACTATTCCAATCTCATATTAAGGCATGGAATCAACAAGAAACTTTAATATTTGGTGTTATAATTTAATAAAGGCACCTCAGTATTCCTGAAGGAAAGCATCTTATGGATTGGGTTGGGCAATGGAAATTCTGGTTAAGAGTTGGGAAAGCACTGGGAGACATCTCATCAGGAGCCTTTCCCTTTCAGGCTATAAGGTTAGTGACTCACCTGTACTCATCTATCTTTGGGCCTCCCTCAGGCCTAGTACAATGCCACCCAGGCAGTAGGCATTTAATAAATGTTCGTTGAACTGAATGGAACAGATGGGGCCGCCCCCAAGAATGATCCAAAACAGAAGACTAGAGTCGCTTGCTGTGGTTCATTTTCCAGTTACTTCACTGATTCCTGATCTACACCTTCCCCAGGTGTCTGCAGATTGCAGCCCATCCCTGCTTACTCAGTCAGTGCTGTTCTTATGTCTGGTTATTTTTAAACCAGTAAATCCAGGAGGCAAGTCACTCCAGAGAGAGTCCTACATTATTACCCCATTTTGTCCAATGTAGTTTAGCCCACAGAGTCAGTCCACAAATACAACTGATCTTTACTACATTGTGAGAATTTGTGGACGCAAACTAGTTAGTGCAAATTTCTGATAAAAGTTGCTGTGGATAAAAGTTTGGGCTCTGGAGTCAGGAAGATCTGAGTTTGAATCCTGCCTAGAGCACTTAGGAGCTGTGTGATACCAACTCATCTGCCCTCTCTGAACATTAGTTTCCCCATTTGTGAAATGGGGATTACGCTGGTACCTACCTTACAGTGTTGTTATGAGGATTAAGTAGGATGATGTATGTAAAGCAGTTCATAATTTTTATAACACTATACAAAACAGGAGCTATCATATCGCTCCTTGGCACAGGTTTATAGCATTCAGTAATTCGTTTCATGCATTCCTTGTTTCCTTTGGCCTATCCAGTTCCCAGGGCTCTTCTCTACCACTGAAAGGTCACTCTTCTTCTTACTGGACTTTCCTGCTCCCACTCCAGGCTCAGGCCTAGTTCTTTTGGCTAGGTTCTTAGAGAATCCAAGGTGTACTTGTTTGTTTGTTTTTGTTTTCCCTGTCTGGGCCTCAGCTCCACTCCCAACTTTCCTTAGGCTTCAGATTACAACTGTTATTTTGGCGATGACCACCTGAGTTGCCACTTCATCTCTGTCCCTCTGACCTTGGCCCACTGGTAATCTCTGACTAGCCCTTCAGCTGATTGTGGCCACTCAACCCTTGAGAATGTGTGGTGGCTGTTTATTGAATTGAATTGTGAATAGCAGATCTTAAATGTTTTGGTAGTTAAGGCAGGGGAGCTAGTCCCATGGACACTCATTCCCTTCTGGCCATATCCAGACCTAGAGTTACCACTTTTTTGGAAAATGACTCTAAATGATCCTTTGTTTCTTTAGGATAACTGTAATTTTGTACATTTCTCCCCAGAAATGGTTCAAGCGGCGCCTGGCTCAGTGGCGGAAATCAGAAGGGCTCCCCTCAGAATGCCGCTCTGTTACAGACTAAGGAAGATTGATTAGGAGGCTGCCATCTTCTCCCACCACACCATGAAGACTATTATTCCCCTCCTGGGTTTAGTCAAGTTATTTTTGTTTTGCAGTATAGTTTTATATGTTCAAATGTTAGCCATCTTGCTATTTAACATGATGTTTTATTTTTAAAATGTGCATAATAAGAATAGAAAAGAAGTCATATGAAGCTCTCTGCAACTTAAATATAACAAGTGGCTTAGCTGGCAAAGTAATGCAGTAGGTGGGTTCGGATTCCATAGCTCAAGGACAGATCATTCTCACAGTGTACTGTTTGCAGTTTACTCTTTACTTATACCTCACAGAACCAGCAATGGCCTCCTACCAGTGCCTCTGGGGTGGGGGGAGGAATGCCTTCCAAGTCTGCTTTACAAATTAATTTTCCATATGTTCAGTTCAACTAAGTGGATACAGTTAAGCATTCTCCAGGCACCTGGATTATGAAGCAGCTTCCAGGACACTGGCTGCATTAACTTGGACAAGGCCCAGTTAGGTGGGAAGAGCCCAGAAAGCCCACAACAGTCCAAAAAAACAACTAAAAGGAAAGTGAGAGTAGCTCTGAATTAATTTTATTTAAATGCATGGATTAGATTATAGCTAAATAATATACTTATTTTTTTCCTGAAATGATATTATTAATAAAACCATAACTTTTTGTTGGGAACACATCGGAGTCTTGTAGCATTGTTTGGATTTTTAATGGGACAATTAAGTTTATGTGTTTGTGGAGCTCAAGAAGACTGGAATCATCCAAAAGGGTGACCTTCAAGGATGGTCAAAGTGAAGTTTTTCACCTGGGCCCATCTCACTGGAGAATTTTCCCTTTTATGGTCCTGAGCTTGTGTTGTAGAAATCAGAATCTTCTGTCCTTTAGAGCCCCCTCCTACACTACAATCTGGGAGGCCAGACTGGACTGACAGCTGAGAGTGCCCAAGCAGTGTTGTGGGTCAGAGAAGACACACTTCACAAGAACCAGTACTTGGAGGTAATTGACAAAGAAATGCAGACATTAGCACCCCATTTCCTTGACCCCTAAGACATTTCCAGGAACTTTCTCAGGTGAGGAGGTGTACTCTTTATCTAGTTAGTTCTACTGCTAGTTCAATCAATTTCTTTTTTGGGGGGGAGGGGTATTTTTCTACCTGGGAGTTTCAGGGAGTCTTTGAGGGTTTTAATCTGCAGCTAACATGCTGACCAAGAGATATTTCAGCTTCTAGGTTTTTCAGTCAACATGCAACACACTGTGTAAGAGTCCCACAAATGAGGATTCCTGTTTTATGGTGTGGAGTTTTAAAAAGCTTCCAGCACATCTCTGAACCACCATTTAGCATGCACAGACCATGTTTCTAGTTATTTAGACTTAAAAAATGGAAAATACAAAACATTCACATTTAAACAGTATACAAATGTTTACAAGACCTTATTAAGAATGCTTGGTGTGCTTTTAGTTTGTATGCCTTCAAGTAATTCATCCATAAACAAATGTACAGAGCACTGGGGTTTAAATTGAATAGAATCTCAGATCTGGCATGTTTCCCTGTGCAACCCCATTAGTGGTATTCAGACCATCTGCCTGTGCACAGGGCTGGGCCCTCGAGTGCCCTTTGCAGAAAACAGGAGAGTGACAGAGTCATGGATAAGAACAGAATGAACATAAAAAAAACACCTGGCATTTATAGACCATCTAATATTTCCAAAGAACTTTCACATATCTTGGCCTCACAGCAACCCTGTGAGATATAGAGGGCAAAGTTTATGATCCCCATGTGGCAGAAAGAAGAAAGAAGTACATGTAGGTTCAGTGACTGGCCAAATGCCATATGATGAGTGAGAAGCAAAATCTGGACTAAAAAGCCAGAATGCTTTCCACCACAGCTCAGCCCTTTAATCGGGAGTGGAGATGTGCATTTGGAATGAGGACAGGAGAAAGCTAGGTAGAGCATCACAGTTTAGGAAGGGCATCCTTTGTCACCAAATCTTTGCTTTCTTTGTTTATTTGAGCTGAAGGGTCTGGGAATTGCTCCTTTAGCTGGCACATGATGAGGAAGGAAGGAGAATTTCAATGTAGGCCCCTTGTAACAGTCAGAGAGAAGTCTCTAGTGGAGTGTTCCTGGGATCTGTCCCAAGTCCTATTGCTATTAAATCACAACTTAGAGGATGGTGCATATAGTTTACTTATCAGATTTGTAGAAAGCCCAAAGCTGGGATAGAAAACTTACGCTGTTTGAGCAAACCATTTTTTTAAAAAATCTTGACAGGTTACAGTGATTGGCTGAAGCTAATACATTTAATAGAATAAAGGTAGCAGCTACACTTGAGAAAATAGGAAATGCACAAATACAGGATGGGAGAGATATGGCTAGACAACAGTTTATGTGGAAAAGGCTTTGGGGATTTAGTGGAATCCACTCAGCTCTGGAACACCCATTCTGGGGCTGAACTGTCTTATCTGATGAGTGGGTAAGTATAAACTCACCTACCCCATTCTAGATAGCCAACCCCTAACAAGAACATCCTTCACATTTTGTCCAGTTGCCCATTGGCCGTTTTTCCATCTTCCCTGCTGCCACCTCCCATTTCCCTTATACCACTCGAACTTTCCACCTCTTGTTTTGGGCACTGTAATCTAATTACTGCTACTATTGCTTCTCTAAAGACATGTCAATCAATTGCCCTATGTATCAGCTCACTATCCCCATGACTGCCCAGACCCCAATTTCCTTCCCTGGCTGTTGTTGAGTCTTTTCAGTTGTATCTGACACTTCATGAACCCATTTGGGTTTTCTTGGCAAAGATACTAGAGTGGATTGTTGTTTCCTCATTTTTACAGATGAGAAAACTGAAGCAAACAGGGTTAAGTGACCTACCCAGGCTGACATAACTAGTAAGTGTCTAAGGCTGGATTTGAACTCAAGTGTTCCTGACTCCAGGCCCAGCATTCTATCCACTGCCTCACCTAGCTGGCTACCCTTTCCCTATATGTGTTGTCTCCTCCTGAGAACTAAAGCTCTTTTAGGGTAGGGACTATCTTGTTTTTGTATTTTGCCATAGAGAGCACCAGGAGCCCAGCATGGCACCACCACCCCTACATGCAGCTAATTCCCTAACTCAACCAACAGCTCACATGAAACTCCTATTGAATTAATCTGGTCAAGCAAAACCAAGGGAATTTTTACACCTGCCTTTAAAAAAATGCATGACTCACTTGGAACAGTTCCTTAGGAAAACACACCTGGAGACCATATATATTACCTAGTGGAGAAAATTTGGCATCCCCTGACCAACAGCTTCTGAATAGGAGTCTGCATTACAAATTTTTTGTTTTTAGTCCAAACTTAGGGTTTTATTGGTGTAGGGGAACTCCTGTTGTGGAAACTTCCTCCACTGAGGCAGATTCACAACTCACCTATAATTTTTAGAGTTAGAGAGTTGCACGGGGCCATGAGAGGTTAAATGACTTGTTCACAGTCACATAGCTAGTATATGTAAGAGGTAGGATTTAAAGCCAGATCTTTTTGACTTCAAGGCCAGAATTCCTATTATGCCATACTGTGGGGCAACTCGGTAGTGAAGTAGATGAAGTGCCAGGCCTGAAGTCAGGAAGACTGATCTTCCTGAGTTCAAATCTGGCCTCAGACACTTACTAGTTATTTAATCCTAGTCAAGTCACTTAACCCTGTTTGCCTCAGTTCCTCATCTGTAAAATGAGCTGGAAAAGGAAATGGTAAATCACTCTAGTCTCTTTGCCAAGAAAACCCCAAATGGGGTCATAAAGAATTGGATGCAACTGAAATGACTGAGTAACAGCAACAATGCCATTCTGCCTCTCATGGAAGATGTAAAATGAGTCAATAAACTTGAAGAGCAAAATATTCCTGCGTATTGGTGTTTGGAGTAGAAATTCCTTCATGTTTATTGCTCCTGGGGTCAAATAGTAGAAGAAAACACAAAAGATTGATGATTCCCAGTCTATTCCCCAAATTGTGAATTCATTTTTCCTTGTAAGAGAAATGGAGATGTCCTCTACATATTTCACCAATTTTGCTATGTCAAGAATAACAGTGGACATGAATCAGGAAGACTTGAGTTCTAATCCTGCCTCAGACATTAGGTGTAACACCCTGGGCAAATCACTTAACCTCTCTTGGACATTCTCCTCATCTATAAAATAGGGATAACAATAGCACCTTGCTCATGAGTTGTTGTGAGGATCGAAAGAAGACGAAATATGTAAAGTACTTTGAAAAGAAAACTATAAAATATTAGCTATTCTAATAATCATTATTGTTATTGTTCAATATCTTTATAAACCCTGTGCCCAAGGAGTTCCACTCCTCCTTCACCAGGAAAGGACAGTGGGACAGAGCCCCCCAGATAAGACATCATTGAAATGAACACTCTTTGGGGCCTCACAGATGAGAACATTCATACTTTATGTTCCAGTGCTCTGTTCTTGTTCATGTGCATTTAAGACAAACTTTCATCAATCCTATGCCCCTGAACCCTAATTTCTTGAACTTCTTCCTCATTTAACTTTGATTACCAATGATATACAAATGGGTTTGCTAGATATGAAAATTATCTGCAATTAAAAAGCTACAAGGATGGGGATACATGGATGGCAGAAAAGTATTGTTCTTTAACAAGAAAAATATATATATAAAGTACTTTCTCAAAACATAAAGTGGTATATAATTTCACTTATTAAACAATAATATAGTTCCCTGCCCCACAGTCCCTCTCCCTATATCTCCTTTCTCCCATCTCCTTACCTTACTCACATTCCTTTCACTCCCTCCCCCTACAAAGCCAGAGAAACAATAAAACCCATTGGCATATATACATGTTGAAGTAACAAGTTAAAAAAAAAATAAACATCAAATTGGTTCTTTTAACTTTTAACTTTCTCCACACTCAAATAAAAGGGAATTGGGAGATCTCAGGCCTAACATTTGTTACCTATCTGGTGAGTGGTTGAAAGAGACAGCAATCTAATTGGACCATAATAGAAGTCCAGTGTATTGGGGAGGCTCTTAAACATCAGGCTAAGGAGATTCTCTTTTATACTAAAGTTGATAAGGACAACTGATGGCCAAGGAGGTTGGGAGTGACATCATCAGACCTACGGAATAAGAAAATTATTGTGGTTACTGAGACTGGAGGCAGGGAATTAAGAGTTAAGAGGTTATTATAATAGTCCAGGTGAAAGGCAATGAAGGCTTGAACTAGGGTGGTAGTAGTATGTGTGGAGAGAAGGAGGCATGAGAAATATTATGAAGGTAGGAGTCAGAGGACTTAACAACAGATTGGCTATGTATAGTTTGGGGGAGGGGGTTGATGGGAGCATCAAAGATCACTCTGAAAGCACGAGCCTGGGCAGCTAGGAGGAGAATGATGCCATCAAATGAAATAGGGAAATTGGGAGGAGGGGCAGGCTCATGTGAGGAAAGGGATGAGTTCAATTTAGGACACACTGACCCTAAAGCATTGGCAGGAAAAAAGGGCAATGTGATATGCTGGAAAGAAGGCTGGATTTAGAATCAAAGAACATAGTTACGAGTCTCTACTCTTTTATTTAATATCTGTGTAACCTTAGACAAGCTCATTAACTTTTTAAAAAATTTAATTTAGTTTTACTTTCAGTTCCAAGTTCTCTCCCTTCATAC